ACCTACAAATTGCGCTATGTGGGAACTCATCAGCGAATTTTCTACAGGTTTGACCCTTCAGTTACTGGACTAATTTGTGAAGCATACTCTACATGGGGTTTTACTAAGGCATTATATAATCTGTTTTTGTTGACCATCCTATTTTTTTTTTTTTGATTTCTGATTTAAAAACCCAGAGCTTTTATTGCTTATTTAGTTATGTGTAAGAAACCCTAATTATTATAAATAATATTAATTACTATTTGTCAACTTAATTATTTTGAATTTACGCTTTAATGCTTAAGGTTCGTTTAGTTTTATTGCACGTATTTAGTATTTATTACCAATTAATTTATTTCAGATTTAATGACGGCTGATTAGTAAAAACCAGTCCCAATAACCTTTTAATAATACGTGGAATTTATTAAATTTCATCTCATTAATGTAACTTTTTTTATTTTATAGTTACTACAAACTAAGTTTTACTCGTATATTATTGATTCAGAAAAATTCTATACTATTTTTCGCTATTTTCCCTGACTAACAATAACATTTGCGAAATTGTTTGTTCGAACAAAATAGTGAAATTGTTTAAAAAAATCGAAAAGTAGATTTATGGCAACATGAACAATAACAAAGCTTTGAACCGTTACACCTAGTTTACTCGTTTTTGTTTCTCTGAGGGACCCAGTTAGATGATGATAAGCATGCATACATACCTCCACATACAACGGTACGAATTTGATGCATATCGTAACATAATGTAGTTTAACTGAATAATTGTTTAAACATATACATTTGCGACCATTGTAGATCATATTCAAAACTTTCTAGTTAATTTGCAAAAATTATAATATTTTAATTGATGTAATACATGTATGTAACAAAATAAAAAAGTCATTTATAAAGAATTTCACAAAAAATTCTAATGTTTTAACTTAATATTCAAAAGAAAACGCACGTATTGAAATAAAACAAATAATTAGGTTATTATTCTAGTCAATGACTCCATTGAATTGGATAATTATCTAAGGTAGTACGTTGGTATTTTAAAAAGTAAAACTGTCACGTAAATTTTGGGTTAAAATAGAGATACTAGTCTTAAGAAAAACGCTCTAGTAAAGAATCTTATAACTGACTTTAAGCTTGATATACAAAAGAAACTCGATGATAATATTGCTAAACTCTCGACCGAAATCACGGATATAAAAAATAAAATTGCATCTGTGGAAGCTATTAACTCTGTCGAAATCACCGAAAAAATTGCAAACGAAGCGGTTGAACATATGTTACGTGCAAAAAATGTACTTATCAGGGGATTACCTGAAAGCACCGGAGATATTCACTCCAAAAAAGAAAACGATAAAATTAAAATCAGGGAGTAACTCGATATTATTGGATTTCAAGGAGATCCAGTAACATTTTTTCGTATAGGAAAACCACAGCAACGCTTACCCAGAAAACTAAAAGTTATTATGTCCCCTGAATCTGATGCCAAATTTATTTAAAAAAACAAGAAAAAAACTGTTGGAAAATGCAAACACCATCTAGACGATAAGACCCCATCCAACAGCAATACCCCCTGGACTTACGTAAGGAACTAGAAAACCGAACAAACAATGGCGAAGATAACTTACCATCAAATATGACAATGGACTGCCCAAAATTGTTACATTTCGCCAATGATAGCTTTTCTCCACCCTATCTCGTTGACTGGTTTCTCTTATACACTAATTTATGTTCTATTCACTCTAAATATAATGAATTTATGTGCACTGTTCAACTTCTTAAATCTGACATAATAGTTATCAGTGAAACCTGGTTAAATACCTCAACTGCCGACTCACAAGTTGATATCGACGGACACACAATCTTTCGCAGCAACCAAGAAAACCAAACTGGTGGTGGCGTTTGCATTTACTTTTCACAAAATATTGTAAATAATTTCTCTGTATCTCCTATACACATAAAATATCTAACGTAGATGTAATATGTATAAATATTACCAAACATTTAACTTCTGTACACCTTGCATGTGTTTATCGACCCGGTGACACTCTTTTAAACGACACCATTACGCTCCTATCAAAACTTGAAGATCTATTTGTTCTTGATAACACAATTATTACTGGAGACTTCAATTTTCCTGATATTGACCAAGTTGTTTACTTCATTTATCATGAAGGTTGTGGAAAAAAGGCCCTAATGAAGTATGTTCCTTCCTTTACCAGTATATAAAGGAATATATACCTGATAGTGTAGGGAACTGCATCTCTTTAGCGACAATTGTCTTGGTCAAAACAAAACTAACACCCTGATTCGAATGTGCCTGTTCCTGAAATATTCCGAGAGATTTGTTGATATTCATCAATACTTTCCCATTCGAGGACACTCGTTTCTGCCTTGCGATAGCGACTTTGGTAACATTGAAAGAAAATTAAAAAAAGTCTATCGTGTTTATACCATACGTCAGTATATAGAAATTATAGCATCTTCCAGCAACAAATACAAATTTCTAATCCATCTTGTGGATGGAAAGGATATAGTGAATTTTAAAGACTGGTGGCCTGGACTAGCTATTTCTATTAAAACTTCTCAAAGAGGTACGCCAAGAGATAGAAAAGTTGCGTTTAACATCAGCAACTTTCATCAGTTTTCCTTCTGCAAGAATGATGGGAAAGGTGTAGTACTTGCCAAAGACTACATTAATGGATTCGAGAAACATACATTTTGTCTAGGACTTTCCAATATTGTAGCTGAACCTAAAGTATTTTGTTACCTAACAGAAAAATTTCCCATAAAATCAGATAAAATGGATCACATAAAGAAATCGGCTAAATATGTGAACGACATTGAAGGAACAAAAGAATTTTGGGATAATATTTTTAGTTGGCCTATTATAAATTAAAAATCTGTGTTTTGTTAATCCAATTTTTTCTTAATAAAGTGTTTTTCGTCAATTACTCCCTCTTTCTTTTTGATTCTTCCAATTAATAACAGAAAGGGTATATGTTAGTCAACTTAAAAGGTCTATAACTTTTTACTGCTTAAAGCAAATATTTTTAATTACCCCTAAAAGGGATAGTGTTTTGATATAGTTTTTACATGCACATTCAGTTTTTTTTTATAAATTATGCTCCAGTTCAAAAAACAGTTATTTGCATTTATCTAAGAAGTTAAGTTCAGTGACATATATCCTTTCTGCAATCAGCGATTCAAATATAGTTTAAAAAACTTAAAAAACACGCTTTTAGAGCATATCAAACTAAAAAGTTTATTATTGTTTTAAGCTTATTTGAAAAATTATTTTTAACTTTTTAGTTTGATATGCTTTAAAAGCGTGTTTTTTAAACTATATTTATTATGATTATTATTTTCTTCGTGGGACCCCCACAAAGGCTTTGCGGAGCCCCAGGGCTCCGCGGGGCGCACTTTGAGTAACGCTGACCTAAAATATAAAATTCTTAGAAACCTATATGGGATATTAGGAATAACTTCCAGGTAATTTTAAGAAATTAATATAAAAATACAAAATGTAATAAAACATCTTATACTTATAGTTTTTTTTTAAAGTCGCATTCACAAAGTAATTAGCGACATTTAAATAAATTAGGCTACAAATTAATCGTCTCGGGATACGGTTTATTAGACGGTAGGAAAAACCCGGACAGGTGGAATTTGGGCATTTTGTCCGGAATTCGCCATGCATTATAAATTGTCCGATATTTTTAGGAAAATCCTCAAACGTATTGAGCTATGCTTAAAATTCCGCTTATAAATGGTTTTGTCTATTAACACTATTACGAAAAATGTTTGGTAGTCAAAAATACGAAAACAAATATTGTTAATTGTATTTTACTTGTTTTTTTTTTAATATACGTCTATCTTTTGTTTGTACATTTATACATATAGAATTTTGTTTAATTTTTTTATAATTTATTTTTTATGTATGACCTTGGTATTAAATGTTTGATTAAATAAGTTAACGAATTTTTAAATGAGAAACTTTTTTTGTTTTTTGTTTTTGACATTATGTACTTTTTTAATAAAACGTTTAGTATTTATTTCATTTGTTGGAATTTTAATATTTTGTCCGGAATTTTTATTAAATATATAGGTACCGCGCAGAATTTTTCTCTTAAACGTTAATATATACCACGTTCTCTACATAATGCCGTTTTTTCCGTTTGAATATGACCAATAGTAGCCAAGATACACGTCTAAGGCCCTTTTGGCATTGCTACTGCGCATAATTTTCTTCAACATTAATCTATACCACGTTCTCTCCACAATGCCTTTTTCTCGTTTAAATTCTACCAATAATAGTCAAGATACACGCTTAGGTCCTTTTGGCATTGCTACTGCTCAGGATTTTTCTATTCAACGTTAATCTATACCACGTTATCTACATAATGACGTTTTCATCGTTTAAGTCTGACCGATAATAACCGAGATACACGCTTAGGTCCTATTGGCATCGTTACTGCGCAGGACTTTTATCTTCAGTGTTAATAGAGATGTAATTACCCGCATTCCCCCGTTTTTCCCGTTTGAGTCAGACAAGCAATAATGGAGATTGAAGCTTGGGCCCTTTTGAATTTCGTTCTACGCATGATTTTTCTATTTGACGTTAATAGTGATTTAATTCTCCACACTCCCCCGTTTTTACCGTTTCAATTGGACCAGTAATAATGGAGATTGAAGCTTAGGCCCTTATGGCTTTCGTTCTACGCATGATTTTTCTGTTCGGCGGTAATAGAAATTTAATCCCCCACTCCCCCGTTTTTCCCTCAGACTGTATGCCTCACTCTTACCCATTGAATCTGTACTTCTCACTCTATTCCCTATGTGAGACCGTAGTAGCTTTGTCTGTCTACTCAGAAAATTGTATTTTTTAATATGGTAACCCTATTCGGGATAAAAAGTCGCTTGCTGTATAATATATACTATTAGAAATCCAATAAAAAGAAAACCTCATTTGCTAGGATAATACACAAATTTGAATAATAAGATAACCTTACCTAAAGCTTCTGGTTTTTGCATGACGCGACCAGTCCTCGATCGCCTTCCTAATGCATTATCAACTTCATCATAAGGGGCTTCGATGTGCGCTTGGCCACGGCCTCCATGATGAAGATGGGAATTAGCAGCATTTGGCAGGTTGATGCCTGCACGTACTGTTAACGTTTCTGGTTGGTACGAACAAAGAACTAGGAATCTGAAAAATAGGTAGTTTTTAGATAAGGAACAATTATTTAAATCAAGAGGAATTTAAAGTATACATGTTTAAGAAGTACATTTTCTTCTACAGTTTTTAAAGTTCTAAACCCGCTGTTAGGCCTAAAATTTTTCATCCTGTAAATACAGGTAAATTTTATTGGATTGTTGGACTCAATTTATGTTTTAAAACATTATTTAATAATAATTGCATTAAACAATATACATTTTCTTGCATTATTTCTAAGTGAATACCAATTTTCCGATTTTAACACCCTGTATCTCAAAATATAGTCATAGGATAGGATTGGACCTATAGACACTTTTGATGGGGACATTAGGTAATAACTTCAATATTAAAAATTCAGACATTTTGACGGTACTCCCGTTTGTATAGAAAAAGTGTCTGGTCCTTTATACAGAACTAATATTTGGACGTAATTGATAATCAAAAAGGATTTTAAGGAAATACAAAAATCCAGTATTACCAAGACAGTACCCATATTTTTTATAATATTTGTTATTTTTCCATAATATATTTTCTATGCGTACTTATTTAAAATTTTTATTTTATGTTAACATTCAAAAGTTTAAAAAGTTCAAACAGTACAATAAGTTTAAAAAGTTCAAAAAGTTCAAATAGTTCAAATAGTTCAAAAAGTTCAAAAAGTTCAAGAAGTTCAAGTAGTTCAAGAAGTTCAAGAAGTTCAAGAAGTTCAAGAAGTTCAAGAAGTTCAAGAAGTTCAAGAAGTTCAAGAACTTCAAGAAGTTCAAAAAAGTTAAAAAAAGATAAAAAAGATCAAAAAAGATCAAAAAAGATCAAAAAAGATCAAAAAAGATAAAAAAAGATCAAAAAGATCAAAAAAGATCAAAAAAGATCAAAAAAGATCAAAAAAGATCAAAAAAGATCAAGAAAGATCAAAAAAGATCAAAAAACATCAAAAAAGATCAAAAAGAACAAAAAGATCAAAAAAGAAAGATAAAAAAGATCAAGAAAGATCAAAAAAGATCAAAAAAGATCAAAAAAGATCAAAAAAGATCAAAAAAGATCAAAAAAGATCAAAAAAGATCAAAAAAGATCAAAAAAGATCAAAAAAGATCAAAAAAGATCAAAAAAGATCAAAAAAGATCAAAAAAGATCAAAAAAGATCAAAGAAGATCAAAAAAGATCAAAAAAGATCAAAAAAGATCAAAAAAGATCAAAAAAGATCAAAAAAGATCAAAAAAGATCAAAAAAGATCAAAAAAGATCAAAAAAGATCAAAAAAGATCAAAAAAGATCAAAAAAGATCAAAAAAGATCAAAAAAGATCAAAAAAGATCAAAAAAGATCAAAAAAGATCAAAAAAGATCAAAAAAGATAGAAAAAGATCAAAAAAGATAGAAAAAGATCAAAAAAGATAGAAAAAGATTAAAAAAGATTAAAAAAGATTAAAAAAGATTAAAAAAGATTAAAAAAGATTAAAAAAGATTAAAAAAGATTAAAAAAGATTAAAAAAGATTAAAAAAGATTAAAAAAGATTAAAAAAGATTAAAAAAGATTAAAAAAGATTAAAAAAGATTAAAAAAGATTAAAAAAGATTAAAAAAGATTAAAAAAGATTAAAAAAGATTAAAAAAGATTAAAAAAGATTAAAAAAGATTAAAAAAGATTAAAAAAGATTAAAAAAGATTAAAAAAGATTAAAAAAGATTAAAAAAGATTAAAAAAGATTAAAAAAGATTAAAAAAGATTAAAAAAGATTAAAAAAGATTAAAAAAGATTAAAAAAGATTAAAAAAGATTAAAAAAGATTAAAAAAGATTAAAAAAGATTAAAAAAGATTAAAAAAGATTAAAAAAGATTAAAAAAGATTAAAAAAGATTAAAAAAGATTAAAAAAGATTAAAAAAGATTAAAAAAGATTAAAAAAGATTAAAAAAGATCAAAAAAGTACAAAAAAGATCAAAAAAGTACAAAAAAGTTCAAGAAAGTAAAAAAAAGTTTAAAAAAGTGTGTCGGCGCCCATGTGCCTGATTAACTGGTGAACTAATATTGTATATCAAATGAAATTTGTAAACTTTGTAATAAGTCTACTCAATATCAATCAATCCTAAGAGGACAGAAATGGTCTTTTTCACAAGGAAAAGAATGAAAATGGAATTAAAACCTCCAGAACTCCTAGACACAAAACTAAACTTTGCAACACAGGTGAAGTACCTAGGTCTCACCTTTGACACCAAGTTAACATGGAACTTGTATTTAGAAAACAGAGTTGAAAGAGCACACATTGCTTATGAACAATGCCGCCGACCCGTGGGGCGCACCTGGGGTTTCTCCTCCAGAGTCGTCATATGAACTTACACGGCCATCATAAGGCGTATGCAAACATACGGTGAAGTTGTCTGGGTACCGAAAACCCAAAAATTAACAGCTATCCGTACACTAGAACAAATTCAAAGAACAGCATGTCTCAACATAAGAGGAGCCACGAAAACAACACCAACCAGAGCCGTGGAAGTGATTCTTAGTCTCTCTCCCCTTGATATTTACATCATGGAGGTTGCTCTGACGACAATGATACGCCTCCGCACGGTTGGAATAGAATCTGATGTAGGATCTGGTGAGGCGAGACGTCGCTTTTGGCAGGAGGCGCTCGATACGCTCCCACTGCTTCAAGCGAACATGGACTCCTTCTCACCGAGGTATAACTTCCATAAGCCATATAAAGTTATAATAAAACAAATAGAAGAGCCAGAAGTGGCAGGTACGATTCATATTTTCACCGACGATTCTAAAACAAAACAAAGCTCAGGATGTGGAATATACTCCAGATTCTTAAACCTAAACATAAAATGGGCCGTGAGCAATAGTGCCAGTGTAGTTCAAACAGTGCTAACGGGGATTCTCATAGCAACAAAAGAAATAACCAGAAACAATATCACTGGAAGGAACATGCTCATCTATACAGACCACGAATTTATTCAGGGTTAGTACTAGAATGTCACGAAGCTTTGGCCGAAGTATAAATCAACAATGTGGTCACCTTAAGATGGATCAAAGGACACGCCACATCGATTCACTAGTCAAGTAAGCAGCCAACCAGATACTTTTTGGACCTGGCCCTTCTATTGGCCTGACAAATCGCTAGTGACAGACCTAATTAAAGAACATTCCCTTGAGAAATTCAAGGAAAGATGGGATGAAACAAGAAACTGCAGACTAGAACTGTGACTAGACAGAACTGCGCCTAGTCACAGGCATTCTGACTGGTCATTGCCAAGTACGGAAGCGTCTCCATATCATGGAGCTGTCAGAATTCGCACTTTGCAGAGGGTGCGAACAAGAATATGAGACCATCGAGCATATCCTTTACGATTGCTCGACGCTCTCAGTTATTAGAAGATTTGTGTTTGGCGAGTATCGGCTAAGACCGGCCGATATAAGAGAAGCACCTCTTGGCGACATTAAACCTGTAGGCTGGCTCACGAGCTAGGAGCTAGGAGGATGCACAATGAGCCTAATGAGGCCTAAGTGCCATGGGGGTAACCCACCCTCCACACGTTACAGATACAGAAGTCTACTCAAGAACAGTATAAATATTATATGTTGTTTTCTGGAAAAAATATAATGATTGTTTTGAATTTTATTTTCAATTGTATCTTTTAACCTCTTTGCTCAGGATAGTGATTATCATAGATGCTGTTTGCTAAAGTTCAATGTTTTTATATACCTTTGGGAAATCTGATTAAGGCCAAAATTTGCAATGGGCTCTTGAGTTATTTGTTATAAATAATTAATAATAATAAATAATAATATATTTGTTATACACCGTTAATCCCATTTTTTCTTAAATGTATCTTCTATTGTAATAATATTCCTTTACAATCTATTTATAAATCTCATTAAATCTTTGATTATTGTCTCATTCATTTTCCATGGTTTCTGGTTAGTAAATAGTACCATAAAATTTAAATACACCACATCCTGAAATACTGACCCCACCTATTAACTGTATACTGCGCATTGAATTTACTGCGAAATTTGTCGCATGCCAAAAAATAATTAATTGCTTCTTTTTATTATGCGAAGCGTATCCAATCGTTACATATGCAAATACGGTATTTTCAGATACAGGAAATGCCTTTTCATTAGCTCACTTTTATTGTTCAAAAGCCAATGTGGTCAAACAACGTCGTATTGTATTTCGAATTATAAATAAAATGACGTCAATGGTAATATAAAGAAATACGTCGTTATTTCTAACATAGTATAAAATAATATATTGTCACGGACTTAGATCTTTGCGTGACATTTATATGGTTACAATTAAAAGAATTGAAATCCACACTTCAACTATTTCTGTAGCTGCTTTTTAATAACTCTTTAGTAACTCTTATTGTTAGGTAAAAATGACAACTAATTAGTCTAACAAAATACTGTATAAACTAGTGGTCGCAAATCTGTCGATCGCGAGCTACCGGTAGCTCGCGGAGGCAATTCTGGTAGCTCTCACAACGATTTTAATTAAAATAATACAAACTACAAAAATCAGAGAAGCTTCCGAAAATTCCACAAAAAAATCTAATTGTCTTAATATTAAACATAAACAGCGGCAACGTTGCGGTGAACGATCTGCCGCTGACGCCATCAAGCTAGAATCGGCTAGAACCGACCAGCCGGACCAGCGCGTTAGTGTTCTCAGGATTGCTTTGAACGGGATAAATACGCACGGCGCGGCGACATTGCGCTTAGTTTAAAACTGAACGCGTAACCAACGTCCAGCGGTTGGGTTAGTAGAGAACAACAAAAAATAATATTATGACAAGCAGTTGTAAAAAGGTAAAGACATACCACTTTCATTCGGAATGGGAAGAACAATACTTTTTTATAGAAGTTAAAGATAAAAATGTGTGTTTGTTATGTAATACTTCGGTCTCCGTTGCTAAAAAAGGAAATATTGAGAGACACCATAAAACTGTACATTCTAATTTTGAAAAATCATTCCCACTACATTTTGCCGCCAG